ATTTCCAAAACTGTCAACCTTTACGGAAGCAGACGGCCCCATCCTTCTCTCCTGGAGTGACCGGTGGGTTCGAATCACCAACCTTTCAGTATTAGCAGCCAAACAACGCCTTAGCCCCTGCCCCGCTGCTTAGTGAGAAGTAGCAAATGCACCCATGTTTACAGCATGATGCCCCATCACCAAAAGGCAGAAGCCATCTAACTGCCCATCAATAGTCAGACAGATAGAGTAGACACAGAGTAGACTATGACTTGGTCTTAAAGAGAAATTAGGTCCGGCACTCACTACAACCTGGGTGGAGCCTGAACACATTATGCTGCGTGAAAGTAGTGAATCCGACAAAGATCTAGGTAAGCACCCTTAAAGAACAGGTGTGGAACCAAAAGCAAACCCAAATTCACTGCCGTCAAGTCAGTGCCGACTCATAGCCACCCTGTAGGACAAGGCAGATCTGCCCCTGCGAATTTCTAAGACTGTAATTGTGTCTGTCAGTAAAAAGCCTCATCTTTCTCCCGTGGAGTGGCCAGTGGTTTTGAACTGTTAGCCTTGCTGTTAGAAGCCCAATGCGTAACCACTCGGCCACCAGGGCTCCTTAGGTATGGAATCTGTTGAAGTTGTTTCAGGAGCCATCCGTTAGCTGCAGTGTCATTGCAAGTAGTTGAGTTTCTTTTGTATCTTTTCACAAATATTTATCAGATTGCCAGCATTTCTAGGGAGGGGGGCATTTCAGTGGTTTCTGCCCCCCCCCACACACACACACACCACCCCCTGCCCCCTGGAAACTCAAGGGCAGGGTTACCTGTGGGCACTGAGGTCATTCCCACTCCTAGCGACCCTACTGGACCGGGCAGAACTGCGCCTTAGGGGTTCCAAGGCTCGAAATCTTTATGGAAGCAGGCACTCTTTCTCCCATGAAGCTGCCAGTAGCCTCAAACCACCAACCTTTGGGTTAGCATCTGGGCGCTTAACCAGCGATCCAGAACGGCATCCAACTTCACAAGGTGGAGCTAGGGCACCCGGGAGGGCGATGTGAATGAAGGCCCGCCAGGAGGGCACAGCTGGGGCATGGGAATGGGAAGCTGCAGGGAAGGCGGGCCCTGGAGATGCCAACCTGGCAGAGGCGAGCCCAGGCCCAGCCAAGGGTCCTTAGTATGCTGGAGGCATCTGCCCTGGAAACCAGAGGCCCCGGGGCCGGGCCACATTGTTCTAGAAAGGGTCCCATGGTCAATGCCCTTGCCCACTAAGACAGACCTTAACCCACCCCTCCCCCCTCCCTTCCAGTGCCCTTCTTTGGGCTTCCAGAGCCCTTGGCAACTCTGGTTAGTAGAGAGCCAGCAAACCTTGGACAAGAGAGCCCAGAGCCCATGGCTTCTGCCGGAAGGTGGGGAGTGGGTGAACTCACCCAGCAGAGAGCTGTGAAGGGACCAGCCACCTTCAGATCAGGGCCCAGGGGATGTGGAGGACAGCTGTTATGTTTCAGAGCTGTGATTCCGAGCTAAGGGTTTGCCACAGAGCCATGCCAGCCTGGGGCTAGCACATAGCAGCTGGGTGAATAACTCTCTCTGGGCCTCAGCACACGCACCCGCCCACCCCACCCAAAAGTGGACATGACCATCATCCTGGTGGTAAGGACGGAATGACCGGAAGCCTGGCGTATAGACATGCCACTGCCCCCGGCCCTGGTTGAGTCATAGGCTCTGGCCTGAGTTGATGCCAGCACGTCCGCTCACCGGCTGTGAGAACGTGGCCAGAGTTTTGCAGTCTCCTTGGGTCTCAAGTGTTCTCACCTGCACAATGGGGCTCGTTCGACCAAGCCTATTGTGGGAAGCGATGTGTTCCTACAAGACCTAGCACAGACTAAACACTCAATAAATGCCAGTTCATATTATCGTCAAGCAATCTCTGATTTGTACTTTTTGTCAGGGGGAGGGGCCTTGGAACAAGGCTGACCCTTGACAGTGAGCCAGTCTTCTTCCCTGCCCCCCCTCCTCTCCATTCCTGGGAACCTTCTCCTGCTAATAAGCCTTTCCTGTCACCCGCCATCTAGTGGCCGTGTCCGGCAGTGCAACATCTTAGCCCTGCAGCTCTTCTCCGTGTTCAAGATTCCCTGCTGGGAGGCTGCAAACCTGGGCTGAGAATACAGCCAGTAGAAGGGGATGCCACAGGGTGAGGGGTGCAGGGAGGTGTGAGGAGAGAGCACACCCAGTCCGCTTTGGACTTCAGCAGCCTCTCTTCCTCACCGGCACACCAAGAGGCCAGCAGCGGCAACCAAGCTCCCCTTCTTCCAAGGGCCTCAGCTGCGTGGCTCACCTTGCTCCAACAGGGGACGGGCACTGAGCTCAATAGCTGTCACAAGCAGCCTCGGCTCACATGCCCTGGCTGTGTGACCAAGACTCAGCCCCTGCCTTCTCGAAGCTTCTTTACACACACACACACACACACACACACACACACACACACACACACAAATCCAGTGGCCTAAGTGCCTCCGAGGGCTGACCCCGGGCCAGACCCAGGGCCACGGTACTTCCTGCGAACAGGAATGGGAAAAACCCATCGGAGAAGGCACTGCAGATCTGTAAGCACTGATCGGAAGCAATCATCCAAATGCCTGAAGTGGGGGGAAAGCACAAACCAATGTGGTGATGGTGGTCGTCAGGTGCCATTCGCCCGGTTCCCCCCCAGCCATCCTTGGAACAGCAGAAGGGAACGCTGCCCCAGCCTCAGTCATTGCTCCCTTCGGAGCCACTGTGTTGGCCCAGCTCATTAAACCGTGCGCACCATGTGGGCTTTGTATAAAGATACACACATGCACACACACGTGTGTGTGCATGAGGAGTTCCGGTGGTGTCTTGGGTTACATGCTGGCCTGCTAACAAGGTCAGCAGTTTGATACCACCAGTTGCTCCTCGGGAGAAAAATGAGGTTGTCTGTTCCTGCAAAGATTTATAGCATGGGAAACCCACAGAGGCAGTTCTGTCTGTCCTATTTAAATACAGACAGACAAACAACTCAAAACCACTGCCATTGAGTTGATTCCAACTTACAGCGATTCTACGAGACAGAGAAGAACCACCCCTGTTAGTCTGAGACTGTCACTCTGTAGGGGAGTGGAAAGCCTCATCTTTGACCTGTGGAGTAGCTGGTGTTTTTGAACTGCTGACCTTGCAGCTAGCAGCCCAATACATCATGTCACTGGGTCACATAGGCTCACTCGGTGGCAGTGAGTTTAGACATGTGCACACACATCAGCAAGGGGTGTGTTCGTAGATACAGATCATCCCTAATTCACAGTATGTTCAAATCACAACAAACCACACTGCCAACCGTCGATATTTGGTTTCTTGTTTGGTTTGGGTCCGGCTTCTGGTAGGAATGTGGAGGGGGCAGTGGCCAAGAGGAAGACCCTGGGTGAGAAAGACTGACACAGTGGCTACAACCATGGGTTCCCACCTCTCTACAATGGTGTTCCATCCTGTTGCCCAGAGACAGCCGCTAGGAGTCAGAGCCAACCGGAAGGCACCTAACGCTGACAATTGTTAGTAGTGGTTACAATGTTAAAATATATTATCTGTTTATGTAATGTTCCACCCCCCAAAGAGAAATACCAAGGGCCTAAAGATACCGATAATAAAAGGCAACAGTAACCAAAATGTTATAAAAGCAAAGTGTTGGACATGGGACAGTCTCAGGAGCGGAACCGTCATTCAGTGGGGAGTGCGTGCGTGCATGTAAGCGTGCCGGCAGAACTGGTCACTGCAGGCCCCTGAGAATGGGGACTGGGAGGCTGGGGGTGGGGGTGGGGGCATTGTTTTCCAGGAACGTTTGCTTTTTCTCTAAGCTTCCTGTGCTGTTGGTGACAGGGAAGCCACACTGTGCAGGGATGAGGGGTGACTGATGGGGTAGAGCACTGAGGTCCAGTCCTGACACCTCCTATCCTGTTCCCAGGGCCTGCCCGCCAGCTCTCCTCTGCTCTCCTCCCCAATTCTCAGGGTCCCAGGGTGGAATCCCTGGAGAAGGACATCATGCTTATTCCTCAAGCAGAGGGTTCGGCGGAAAAGACAGGACCCTCATCGAGGTGGACTGACCCAGTGGTTGCAACAACGGGCTCCAACAGTTGTGGGGACGCCGCTGGACCGGGTGGGGGTTCCTTCTGCTGCACATGGGTCGCTGATGTCGGTGTCAGAACCAACTGGGTGGCACTGAACAGCAGCAGCAGGGCTGAAGCCACTGTCTCGCTATCAGAATCAGGCTCTCTGCCCAGGGGGGCCCTAAGAACTGCTGTCCAGGTGGGGGTTGCCAAGACAAAGCCATTGCTGTTGTGTGCCACCCATTACAACTCACAGGGACACACACACACACACCCAATGCTATCACCATTACAGACGCACATCATCGGGGCCTTTCTCTCATTGAGCATCTGCTGGGTTCACACAGCTGACCTGTCCTCTAGCAGCTAAGCCCCAGGGCGAGAGCTGGGGGAGGGAAAAAAGCCATCCCAGAGGGGTGAGTCTGCAGCTACGAGACACAACTGGGGCTCAAGGGGGTGGCAGGGGGGTGGTATGAATACTGCCTCTCGGGGCTTTTCTGACCTCAAGAGATTGGGAAGTCCTGAGGGCTGGGGAGGGAACAGAGAACCAAGACAAGGCACTGAACATGCATTCCTGACCAGACTCAGGAA